TTCTGCCAGTACCCAAAATCAATCTAAGTGCGGGGTCCTTTATTAAACACAATACCTTCTATTTTTTTTTGTGACATAGATTCACCACAATTCTTTTTTTTCTACTTTGTTTGTGTAATACAAAGTTCCTAAAAAGTAAAGATACAATTTTTAAAAGGGCACGATATTATTTAGACACGTACAAACTTATAAATATATTTGTAGCAGCAAAGCCATCCTCTAAAAAGTGCATTGAACAAATGTAATATATTCGTTCAACTTCCAATATTTCAGTCCATTCAAGTGCCTCTAACCATAAGTTTTTTCTAATTCGTATTTTAGAACACTAATAATTTTATTTTTTTTTAATATGCATATTTTATTTTCCTTTTTTTTTCCTAAAACGACGCCCATGTTCTTCGGTAAGAAATAATATTAACGAGTGAAATGTAACCTCACTTCCTCTTTTATATTTAAAATCACATAAAACACAAGTCTTTTCCTAGTATAAAATAAACCCTACAAATCCAAGTCACTTTTAACACCACCATACTTGAACCAATTTAAGTAAAAACTTAAAAAATGTCTAAAAATAACTGGAAAAATAAATATAGAGATAGAGATATTAATCTATTTATCTCTAATTAGAATCTTTCATGCAATATCAAGGTGACAAAAAAATTGTTTACTGTCCTTTCTGTACTACTCTGAGGTGTGAGGTAACATTTCTGTGATATTCAGAACAATCAGGAATGGCAGTGGAACTTTGCGTTCTGTACATTTTTGGATAAAAGGTTTGTATATTTATATTTATGTGTATTTTTCTTCTGTATACGACCATAAATCATGAATAAAAGAAAGAATACAAGTATTAGAAATTAAAAATTTAAAAAAACCGTAGCCGTAGAGTGAGTACTGCAATTCACCACATTTTTTTTATAATATTTGCAAATGGCGCCTTAGGTGATAACTTCTGTGCTTTGGTGGTAAATTTTCGGCTTCCAGGTGAGATTTCACTTTAGCATATGTCTTTTCTTTGTGTTCTTGTTGAAATTTGTACGTTAACGTGGTATTGGGGTTTTTCCATTTGGAGAAATTGTTGAAGTATGCTCCTTATATGGGCCCATTGAGCATTCTTTATACAGGCATGTCCATATTAAGATCAACGTTTTTTTTTTAAAGATAATGGGGCCAAAAAAGAGAGCTCAGTAGACACAAAATGATTTAAGTAGTACTGTTCTCGCTTGTCTAAATGGGATGGCTATAAGACGGACCTCCATAAATTATAACATACCCTCTGGAATACTACAGCGTCATGTTCGGAGTGGCAAATGCTGTGAGACGACTAGGTCGAACATCTCTATTGACCATCGAACAAGAAGGCTTAAGGCCTCAAGCCAGAATATCAAGACAATCTTTCTCCAAGTAGCAAGGTTTTTATGACGCCCAAGGGAAGTATGACTTGCGAAGTCTTTGTCAAGTCAATTCATCATTTCGCAGAGTATAGTTCTGCAGGAAATGTACTGCTTATTTTCGATGGAGCTAAGTTTCATTTGGATAAAGCTATTGTGACTGCTGCTGACAATCATAACATAGCACTTATCTGTCTTCCGAGCAATTGTACACGAGAATAGCAGCCCATGGACAAATCAATTTTTAGAGCTTTCAAATATCATTGGGAAGATGAATTGCAAAGGTTTTGGGGAGTACATTCTCAGCTTACAAAGTCAAATTGTGGTTTAGTGTTTTCCAAAGTATGGCCCAATACTGTAACCCCTTTGAATATAATTTCAGGATTTCCTGCTACAGGGGTTTACCCCTTTGATCCCACGATGATTACCAAAATTTCATATGCTCCATCTGTATTATTCCAGCAAAATTATCCGTCTTAAAAAACGCCACTGGAAACTTCCTTCCGCTAAGTGGAAACTTCTACACCTCAAGCAACATTGCAAGGAAAAAAATAAAACGTAAATATTCAGCCAGCGAAAGCAGTGACATGTTCAGATAGCGACTGGAGCTCTTTTGGTTCATCTGAAGGGGTCGACTATATCTAAGGAATTTTTGGATCCCAATAATAACGACACATGTAGCAAATCTTTCGATAATTTGTTGTCAACGCCAGATCTGGATATTGTCAAGCAAAACAAAGCTCCGCCCAGAAAAGCTATAAATTATAAGGCTGTTCAGTTAAATAAAGAAATGTTTTTCGACTCTCCATCGACAAACCAAAATGCATCCAACGCTCCAAAAAAGATAGTCCAAAAAAATAAATCTTTACTTTTAGACACAATAGGATCTGCTAAAACTGCTTGTAATGAACCTCAGCCTCAGCCTTCAACGAGCGGAATCATATCCAAGAAAAAATAATTCTGCCATTGCATTCTCTGTAGGGAAGAACGGAAACTGAAAATGAGGCAGTGTAATGCTTGTGATCAGTGGGTACACGAAGAGTGTTGCGATCTAACAGCTAATAATGTGTTAGTGCCATTTACGTGCCCTGTTTGGGACGATGATTGATTTTCAATGTTTTTTTTGACTTCGAATAATCTTTTTTGATTGTGAACATATTCTTTGCTAATAAACATAAGGTAATAGTAGTACATCATAATGTTTTTCTAAAAAATATTGAGACTGAACCATGCCCATATTTGGCACCGAAGTCCAAAATGGGACTGGTTGATCTAAAATTATAAAATTTGAGTAATAATGGAATGCTTATCTTTTTATTAATTTCTCTTCCATACTCATATAGACACATCTGCCCTAGAGTGCTTACCACTTTTGGTATTAATTTATGGTGGAAAATTGAGCTTCTTAGAGATAGAATGCTTAGGTATGCCCATATTTGGTCGAGTTACCTTATTTAAATATTTATTATTAATTTAAACTACAGAAAGGTGTATGTACTTAAATAAGATAAATATGAAATCCGTTTTTTGTATATATCGACTGTCATTTTATAGTGGTTGGTTTAGTACCTATAATAATATGTGGACGGACGGACTGTCCTAACAAACTGTCAAAGGAAACTTGAATAGGACCTGTCGCATTTTTTGTAGTGACAATTTTGAAAGCTATATTTACAAACTCACTTTTACAATTAATGTTATTGTATTGGTATACTTGATACTGATATACATTGCTTTTTAAAATTAGCCAGTCGATATGACTTCTGATTTTACCCAAATTTAATAAAAACAAAAAACACGCCACCTTTCATTGGAAAGGGGACGAAAATTAATTCCTAGAAATCTAACCCTCTTTAACCCGGCAGCAAATCTCTATTTTTTTTTTTTTTAAATAGGCATCTGAAAGGTAATTCTCCATAAAATTAAACAATATACTACTCATTGGGTGACTTTTGATTTTAGTGCCCTCTTAAATTGAAAAAGAAATTATTTCCAGAATTTTCCGATTATTCCGACAAATTTTCCAATAAACAAAAACTTCAAATATACTACTCGACATTCTCCACAATTTCTTATCAAACATATTTTCTAGAAAACGATGCTTGAAAGAAGAGGCTTTTCCGGAAAATATTCATAAAAAAGGTAAAAAGGACTTAAGAAAAACTATCCACTTTGACATTATTTTTTTAACAATTTAGTTTTTACTGTTTTTCATTATTTATTAAAAAATATTTATTGACAGCCTGTATGTTTTTCCATTGGTTTATTTGTGCAGCGGACACTCAGTTAAATTTCATAAAGACACATTATTTTAAAATCACATAAATAACATAAAAATATAAATTCAATATTAATATTATTAATATTTTCCTACAAAATAATCTCTATTTTTTCATTACGCTCTGGCTTAAACACGAGAAGTTTCCGCCTATAGTTAAATAGAGAGGTCAACAGTTCCATGAAATAAACAATGTGACCGATTTTAAACCACGATATTTTGTGCATTGCACATAAACAAGGCGTGATGTCACAAAGTAGGGTGGGGCGAGGAGATTCCAATTAAACTCTAAATCCATAATAAATCCCTATAAGACAATTTGAATTCTGTTTAATTAAAAATTCGAGAGACGCTAAAATGGTGGTTCCCACCTTATCGAGACCCATAAGGGTAAACTCGTAGCGTAAAAAAAAACGAAAAATGATTTAAGGCGATAGTAGTATTAGGACGTCGAATTTTTTGGTTTGTGAAGCATTACTTAGGTTAAACCATGTGATAATTTTCATATTGACCTAATATGATAAAAATCTGTATATTTATTGGTTTGTTTTATTATACAAATGTACCTACTGTTATGAAGATCATTATATTTTCCAACATTTAATAAATATACTATCAGCCTAAGAATTATTTTATTATTACAGTAACTGAAATGCCATTATATTAACTAGGTTTTCTTTAAGGTGGATAACTAACAAAACTGTTTTTGTCAATTAAACAGAATATTCCATTGACCAAATAGGGATCTTATTATTGTTATATTTTTAAAATCAGCTAATCGAGACCCATATTATTGGAAAAATATTGAATACCTATTTTAAATTATGACGAGCCGCCACTGCTATCAGGTCTATAAAATTATTATTAATTGAAGTTATGGAAACAAGATATTTTGGCTCAAAGTACATAAAGGCACATATCACAGTAAATCACACGCCAGTGCGACCCTGAAAATACACTGAAAACGTTTTATAACGTAAACGATTTATAAATCGCTTTCATTATTTATTAATAACTGAATTTTACTTCAACTCTGAAATAATCTGTATACATTTCCTTATTAACGACACATTCAATTAACTAAATACCAATTACTCTAGAAATTAATTTCGACGACGGCCCTTCCATTTAATCAATTTCCAATTTCCTCACGAGATGGAACTTGACATTAGTGGATTTGTCCTAATTAGAAATGTTAAATAAAATAAATATATAGGTATATTTACTGGTAAAAGCATGAAGTGATCCAAAAAGCTAAGCGAAGATAACGAAATTTAATGTGATCGTAAAATCGACCCTAACTAAAGTTGTTTTTATGAAGCACATATTACCTCAGATCTATGGCCTCTTAAGTTATAATTAGTGCGAAGAGGATATTCAACGTTCTTCTTGCAGTGACTGGTAGTAAAGGTAACTCCCACGATGCCACGAACATTGCTGGTAGCTAACCATCCTTCTTGATAGTAGTTGGTTCTGTTTAATTTCCACCCTTCATCCTGAAAAAATGTAATAACATAACGTCAGAAAAAATTAATAATTTGTTGCCTAATAATTTTGAAAATATCAGATTAATTTAGAAAGCCTACTGAATTCATTTGAAATTTAATAACAAGGTTGAAATGGAAATTCGATACAAGTGGAAGATTTTGAACCACGAGTGTTGGATTTATATTCCAACAGAGTAACAGATATAGTAGGAGTTGTATATAGTAAATGAAACTTTAAACAGAAGGAAATATTTAATCTAACTTATGTTAGGCAAGTTAACATGGAACTCGCATTTAGAAAACAGAGTTAAAAGAGCATACATTGCTTATGAACAATGCCGCCGTACTGTGGGACACACCTGGGGTTTCTCCCCCAGAGTCGTCGCATGGACTTACACGGCTATCATAAGACCTATGCTAACATACGGTGCAGTTGTTTGGGTACCGAAAACCCAAAAATTAACAGCTATCCGTAAACTAGAACAAATTCAAAGATCAGCATGTCTCAACATAACAGGAGCCATGAAAACAACACCGACTAGAGCGATGGAAGTCATTCTTAGTCTTACTCCCCTTGATATTTACATCAAGGAAGTTGCTCTGACGATAATGACACGCCTCCGCACGGTCGGAATAGAACCTGATGTAGGATCTGGTGAGGCGAGACGTCACTTTTGGCAGGAGGCGCTCGATACGCTCCCACTGCTTCAAGCGAGATATATCTTCCATACGCCATATAAAGTTATAATAGAACAAATAGAAGAGCCAGAAGTGGCAGGTACGATTCATATCTACACCGACGGTTCTAAAACAAAACAAGGCTCAGGATGCGGAATATACTCCAGATTCTTAAACCTAAACATAAAATGGGCTGTGAGCAATAGTGCCAGTGCCAGATTCTTATAGCAGCAAAAGAAATAACCAGAAATGATATCACTGGAAGGAACATGCTCATCTATACAGATAGCAGATAAGCACTACTCACCCTGAACAGACCACGAATTTATTCAGGGTTAGTACTAGAATGTCATGAAGCTTTGGCCGAAGTATCCATCAACAATGTGGTCACCTTAAGATGGATCAAAGGTCACGCCACATCGAAAGGTAATCGTCTTGCCGATTCACTAGCCAAGAAAGCAGCCAACCAAATACTTTTTGGACCTGGCCCTTCTATTGGCCTGACAAAATCGGTAGTGACAGACCTAATTAAAGAACATTCCCTTGTGAAATTCAAGGAAAGAGTTGCCAGGGAGCTCTTAAGTTATCCTGACAACACTGCAGCAAACAAATACTTGACAATGACTAGACAGAATCTGCGTCTGGTCACAGGCATTCTGACCGGTCATTGCCAAGTACGGAAGCATCTCCATATCATGGGGCTGTCAGAATCCGCACTCTGCAGAGGGTGCGAACAAGAAGATGAGACCATCGAGCATATCCTTTACGATTGCCCGATGGTCTCATTTATTAGAAGATTTGTGTTCGGCGAGTATCGGCTAACACCGGCCGATATAAGAGAAGTACCCCTTGGCGACGTTGTCAACTGCATTAAATCTGTAGGCTGGCTGACGAGCTAGGAGGTGCCTATCATCTTATGAGGATGCACAATGGGCCCAATGAGGCCTAAGTGCCATGGTGGTAACCCACCCTCCACACGTTACAGATACAGATGTTAGGCAAGTTCAAAATTTGGGAGGAATATTATCAAATTCCAAATGTTTAATAGTAAATACTTTTAAATTAGTTTAATAGAAATCAGAATTCTTGCTAGCATTAAAGTCTTGACTGACAAATTATTGGATACTAAATAATTTTAAAATTTTCACTTATATTACCCCCAATAATTTAGGCACGAGTGGTATTCGGTAAGAGAATTTTACACCGAAATATCAAAATTTTAAAACTTGATAGACGCATTAAAACAACTAAAATCAAATTTGCAAAGTTTGCCAAGCCAGTTATGCATGTTTGTCATATTTGAAGTCGGTAAGTCAACCTAATTATTATTTCACTTAAAATAAATACAGGTGTATCCCATCTCAGCTATTATCCCAGCAAACATTTTGGTGTAATTTGACGTCGATACTACCTAAATTATATATAATAAATTTGGTCGCAAAATTAGATTTAACCATAATTAAGTAAAATTTACGTTGGCTCGACGTAGATTCGACATAAGTGGAGAATAAGACGACGTCGAAATTTGGTTTTATTTACCAAAACAGGTAGAATTACATCTAAATCCACATTGTAGTAGCCCAGTACGTATGGTTAGTAATACCTCTCTAGGGAAATTTGACGTCAGTATAACGTTAATTCGACGTTGATTTAACTAAGTTTAGGTGAAACTACCAAAATATTTGCAGATGACGTATGCCTCCAAGTGTACGAAAAGAAATTTTATACTTATTTGGTATTTTTATCTATATATAAGTATAAATATAAGTCACCAACACAACTAAAACATATACCTAATTCACATGAAAGATTGAAAATAAATAAATGTCGGTGACAAAAATATATGTAATGTAATTGTGGTGAATATACAGTTTACGCTTGTTGAAATTAATGCGAAGAAAATTTTGTCGTGCATGTTAACAGTTCTACTTAGAAAAATAACAATGCCCTTCCAAAATATTCTCTAATTAAAAAAATATAAGAAAAAATATGATCGTGTAAAAAAATAATAATATTATGAGCTAAAACTATGTTACGTTTGTTGTGTATCACTTTAGAAAATCAATAATGTTTCGTTTTTCGGTATTTTCATTCGTATGTTTTAGTTATGGTCATTTTAAAAATTTAAAATTTGGAATCATACTTCAATTACGTTAAGAAAATATGGCGTATTTTTCGAATTCGACCTAAAAGTTATTATGACTAAGGAAATTTACGTATTTTACAAATACCTTTCTACTAAGTTGAATTAACTTCAATTTCACGACATATTAGTTAACTTTACCTATTTAAAGAAATAATAACTTATAGGTTTTATAAAAAATTTACCTATAGGTAAATATAACATATTTAGGTCACGTCGTTCTGCACTTGAGATTTTAGACGTTTCACTTTACGATAAAAATCGGAAGTATACCGATATGATTTATTATTTTTCGAACTCATTTTATTAATTATTTTTCGCACTCATTTAAAACTCTATCTACACCACACGTAAATTAAGATTACGACTGTAATGGTTTTTTTAAAATGGCCGAAATTCTTAAGAATAATGACGAAGACAGTAACTGAACAACTAATTGTTAAAATAACCTAAATAATATAAATTTTACAAATAGGTCATGTATGACTCTTTTTAAATTGGTGGTTTTTAGTCGAATTTACTTTGTGGTAGATTTTTCAGGTAATTGCTACAACAAAGTTAATAAATATTTCTTCAAGATGACTTATAGGTCAACTAAATGAGTATTCGACTATTTGGTTAAAATTAGGTAGATAAACAGGTAGAATTTTTCTACGATCTCGACCTAATATTACTTTAAAGGAGAGTAAATAAAAGCGGTCAAATAGGTTACTATGGAGGCATAAAATTACGTAGAATTTTTAACCAAATCTACCTAGTTGGATATTCTACTATAAAGACGATTTTTAGTTGCCAAAAAGGTAGATATTACCTAAATATGGCACCTAATTTTACTACAAAGGAAATTTAACTTTGAAGTAATTGTTGGTTATTTTTTTTAGTAGTTTTTCCCTTGCTGATATGGATAAAGTTACTTTTAAGCAGATTTGTCTAAAAGGTAGATTTCTTGGTATAATTTACGTAAATTTAAATATAAATTAAAAGCGTTTGGTAAATTTACATTAGAGGTATATTTTTCTAGTCAATTTTACGTAATAATTACCTCAATAAGTAAATTCGTCTTTAACAAAGTCGAGTTATAACTAATGTTATAGAAAATGTTTGCTGGGATTATACCTACAGCAAAGGTTAAATGGGAAAAATTTTAGAGGAGACTGAGAGTGTAGTTTTCTTTAGTAATTTATATTATCTCCATCAATAACAGGCTGTGAAAAGCTTAGAAAAACAATACGCAGAGAAAATTAAACATTTATTGTTAAATTTATTTAAGTTTGGAAATAACTATTCAACAATAAATACCACTGAGTTAAAAATAAAGCTATTTAGTGACCAAGTCATTAATTATCACACGTACCGTTTGTCGGCAAAGAGAAGAGAAAAGGTTTGGAAAATTATGTCTGAACCTGCTTAAAAATAAATATATTGTTTTATACAATTCGTATTGATTGTGTTGATTCGTAGTTTAAAATAACAAATAACCACAGATTGTTTAAAACACGCTTTATTTATCGTCAATGCTTTTACGAAATATACCCTTTACAAAAACGTTAACCGGAGCAGAAATTACTAGAATATTATAGAATTGTATAACGATGTTTTGTACGCCGGCACGTATTATAATTGACCGTGGAACAAATTTTACCGATAAAAAAAAACCTTATTCGTAAATATAAATATTGAGCATCATTAAATATAGCAGGGCGCCTAATTATTAATTTATTAACTGTTGAAGTTCAAAATTTGTCAGAATGGACGAGCGCTCTTTCCAAATTACGATTAACTGTTAATTCTGCCATTCAGAAAGTTACGTACAGGTCAGGTCGATCCCTGAGAAGTACCTCTGTACTTAATATTGTTTTTATGTTACTAGAAAGTCGAGTACAGGTCAGGTTAATCCCTGAGGAGTACCTCTGAACTTCTCGACTGTTTTTATTTAGTACCTCTGAACTTCTATTTAAAGCTTTTGCTTTTTTGAGTAAAAAAAAGTTAAGTATAGGTCAGTTAAATATTTGAGGAGGAGTACCTCTGAACTTTAATGTAAAGATTTTGTTTTTGTGATTAATACAATTAAGTATAGATCAGCCAAATATCTGAGGAGTACCTCTGAAGTTATTGCTTTTACTTTTGTCTGTTTAGCACAAATTTAGTGAAATCTTGAAATATTAAATATAGTATAGTTGTTAGCATCGT